AAGGGCCAAATTCAATTTGAGCTCACAAAAGGATAAAACAATTTACGGACATTTGCTGTGAGATCTTTAGGACTCTGTACTTCGACCTTTCCGCTATTAGATTTTCTAAAAAAAAGCCGTTCAAAATATTTTTTTTTTTTTTTTTTTTTTTAGAAATGGTTAAAATTGCTATAGAAATTTTTCGCTGCATCCAGTCGCAAGGTACTGAAGAAGCCATCTAAAGCATGTAGTTGTCTGCCTATTCAGTCAGTTGAGATTTTGAGTTGATTTAATTTTCTAAAACACTGCTCGGGCTTGCGTTGTTAAGTCAAATATATTTTTCCCTATCTAAAGTTTCTCTCAAATTTTCATGACATGTCAGCCTCCTTGCTTCCTAGTGTTACGTGTTTTTGTTGTAGAGAAATAATTGACCAAAAAGAACATTTACATTTCGATGTAGTGTTGGGTGTTGTAGACTAACTTGCGATGTGTTTACTTTTTTGAAATCGATTATTGATCGTTAAATTTTTGGTCGTTGCTTAGAGTGCAATCTTACAAGCTCCGGTGAATCGAAAAATTCGTCAATTCACCCATTATCACATTCAACACCATATATCCCTTTCGGAAATGCCTTATATTGTAAAGTTTTGCCCGGAAAATAGAGAATTCGCTAACAATCAAATAAAAGTGAATGATGGGGAACACGGTTGGAGACAACGAGAGTGATAAATTTCTGCGACTTATTTTAGTAAATAAATGAAATGTTTATCCGTTGCTTGGTATTCCATCTCCACATTAAGCGACATTTATTTCGCTCTAGCGAAAAACTCACGACATAATGTCTCGTACAACAAAGAGATATGTTATTTGATGCAAGTTGATCAAAGTGCCAGCAAAGCGGAATTGAAGCGCGAAGTGTTTTTTCCGCTTCTCCTTATCTGGTGTTCAGCAACTATTATTTGGTTATTAACTTTTACAAGCACCTTCAGGGGAAATTGAAATGAAGATATCAAATGCAAAACTGTAAAGTTATGTAAAATTGTTTTAAAAAAAAAAAAAAAAAAAACCATAGCATACCCGTAAGGCGTTAAATATAAATGAAAGATGAAGCTTACTTTAAAGAGCTAACTAAAAAATAATATTGAAAAAATGTCATTACAATTTTTTAAACTTGACAACAAAAAGTTTTAAATAAAAAGCTTGTAATCATAGATAAAAACGTGTACTATTTACCTTAAACGAAATTATTTCCGACTTTTTTTCTTCTCATATTTATTATCTCATCACTACCTTCATAATAGATTATTTTTGTAATTGATGGGAAAAAGAATTGAGTGGCGTTGAAGCCACATAAATTTGATAGCACTAACACTATCAAGCCAAACCAAAGCTTATTTGAAAAGTGAAAGTTCATAGGTAATTAAAAAAGAACTTTGTTAAATTGGTTAATTGGAAAATTAAACAAAGCCCTGAAAAATTGGAATTTTTGGAAATATTGTTCCATCTGAGGCAATAATGTTTCGAAAACTTGTAAAAGAATTTGCAATGTTGTAGCGAAAATGTTTTACGGGAAGCGAGTGATCACTTTACTATTTACGATTATCACTCTCACTTGAAATGTTGCGATAAAATATTGGTCATGAACATGACACATTAGTATGAATACCGAAAGAAGTTTGCCGAGTTTTTTCACTAAAATTCAAATAAATTTTTCCTATATTTCGAATGAACTTTACTAAACCATATATGTGCCTTCAGAGACTTCTACGGACAGCGAAATAAATAGCAGTTGGGTGGAAAAAGGCCCAACTATACGATGATGGATGCTCGGATCGGATTCATCCCTTGTTGTCATATATAACCGTCTTTTCATTGCTCGCAATCAATCTCATCATATATAACCTGCTTTCGTGTTAGTTTAGCAGCGAGATGGAAATTCGGTCCATTACAACTTTCACTCACATGGTATCGAAGAATTCTTATATACCCAGTCTTACGTCAATGGTTCAAAACTGACACAGAGAGTGCGGTATCTTTAACAATGGAATTTTCAGAAGGGGAACCGGCAACCGTCCTATTCAATATTTAAAATTTTATTGTACATTTTCCTGACAGACGCAACTATGAATACTTTCTTAATAGCATTTCAAGGAACTTAATTTATTATAACTTATAGTCACTCTATGCCAAACGAGACATAGCGCAGAAAGGAAGAGTAGAGGAATGAAAATATTATGTTACACTTATACGATCCTTTGATGTGTATGTGTGTGTGTGTGTGTGTTTGGACGTGTTCGCGTAAACTGATTTACTTCAAATTTCATAACCAAAACCATTTGTTTTATATCGAACTGACTGCCATTCTTAAAACGGCTTACTTGAGTTTTGCTAATCCGTCAGATTTATATGCATTTAATTTTTTTTTATTTTTTTTTTCAATAAATCGGAGCATATAAGGAGCATAAAAACCAGATCATATTTCAAAAGTGCCAAAAAAAAGGAAAGATGATTTATCGTCAATATTTTCCAGAATTGCTTCTCACATAAGACTTATGGTAAATGTGACTTAGAAAATCCAAAGATAAACAAACATTGCTTACGTAACACATAGACTATGCAAAAATTTATTGCAATATTTCCAAGATATTTTTACAACTAAAATGAGAAGCTAGATCTGTAAATATTGTAAGTTATGGCAAAGCTATTATTATTATTTGGAAAGTTCGTATTAAATAAATACATGAGCCGAGTTATGTTTGTGAGTAAAAAAATTGTTGGCAACCTTTTATGCTCTATTTTTTTTTTTTTTTATCAAATGAATAAATTGCATAAACAATTTATATTTTATTATTATCTGTGCTATTATTTTTGCACTTATTACTTTAATTCTTCAACTCAACAACATACATACATCTATTGTTTTATCGATATCATTGGGTGCACAAATATATTTTTGCCGAATTCCAAGGCAAGACATGTGGACGGGTACTACATTCTAATGGCTAGCATTGTGATTTCCTTCTATGAAAGTATTTCTATAGGCTTTGCCTTACAGCATAAGCTATCTGGCTGAAGAATAGACATTAATTTTTTTTTTCTTTTCCGTTATGAATTTGTAGAATTATGTGCCAAGGAACACCACTTGCAGGAGGCGTTTTTTTTTCTTATTTAATAGGTGGAAAATTGCCAAAAGGCATAATGACATCGTTTTTTTAACATAATGACGATCGATTCTGAATTGTAAAATAGATTAGTAGCCCTAACCCTGCCCCCAATTTTACTTTACTCTTAACTCTCAGGCACTTAATCCAATCGATGATTTATTTCCTTAAATTTTTATAATAATTCCCAAAAAAAAATATTCTCTCATAGATATTTTCAGAAGATCCTTTACCTTTTTGATACGGAATTCATATTCCGCTAAAGAGAAACGCGAACCACTGGCTAGCGATGGAAAGAAAATGCTAAAACTTATTTATGTACCCAATAAAATGAAAATAGAAGTAGAAAACTATCACACACATATCTATGTAAATGTTTTATGCACCCACTACATCCATTGTTAAGTGAGTGACAAGTACATGTACGAACACAGATATTTCTATGTACGTTATTATATGTAGTCTTAACATTTACATTGTTTGCACGCTTGCATGCATGCATGCGTTTTGATGATAGCATACGTTTGGGTGTGACCGTCGTACAGCAACCTTTTCAACTGACATTTAACTGGATTTTATTAAAACTTGTTAAATGCTTGCATATGGCTTACAGGGAATTTAAATGAAATATTTATTGATTTTTTTTCATGCTATAAATAATGAATAATTATCAAAGCAATACAACATTGCAACGAAATGAAGTGCACTTTAAGGAATCTTAAAAATATTATTTAAATGCCTATATTTAGGAAAAACAGTTACATTCCAATTTAATTTTTTTTGAATAACACGGAAAGGAAGCATCGAGATTTACTTTGCAATATCGCGAAATACATATATATATATATATAAATAATATGTTATATATATAATATGTACATATGTAATATGCTATGACCGAACCTTTCATTTCCTGCTTAACACAGTCTTACAGTCACAAACATTATTCTTATGTTATTTGTGGCCGCAGATCAGTTTTGTACGTGATTACAATCTCATCTTGCGAAAAATATTTTAAAAAAATTCTTTTTAATTTATGTAGAACTTATGATTAAAATATATGTCAGGACTTTTCTTACCAATTGAGGCAGCAAAACACCCTATCCGTTCCAGTGAGAAGGCAGAAAGATGTAAGGTTTTTACGTATCACAGCTTAGTGTTCTTAAACATCATTACGGACGGATTCCAAAGTAAATTAAACAAGTTAAAAACTTAACAACAAACTAAAATGTAGATTGTTTCGACTTGTTTCGATTGTTGTAGCTAAAGTAAAGCAAACTTTTTACTATCATTAAGCACAATTAATGACACTAAGAAATGCAAAACTAGAACTGTTCAAGTTTTGTTCTGCAAAAGAATTTTTTTAGCGTAATACCAACACATTTTCTGCTCCGATATTTTCTACTAAATATTGCTCACTTGTATATATAAATATATAAATTCGCATAAATTTATACTTAAATATAAGAAAGGATTAGTATAATTGAATTCCCGTGGCAACAGCTGCTATTTTCACAAAGAATATTTGAAAATATTTTTTGCTTGGCTTTGTTTCTTCTCAACAAAATTATTTTGAAGCATACCTTTAGGCGATACGAAATTTTGTAATTACTTATCTACTTTTCGCGTATTTTACAAAATATTTTTATTATGAATTAATGGTTTTTGCTTTAACACTTCTTAAATTCAAAGACAAAAGAAAATCGTTGTAAATTATTTGTAAAAAATAAATTTGAATTTTTAGCTATATCTTTTATTCTTCTTCTTCTTCTTTCTCTCGTTTTTTTACTTTTTTATGTGTGCTCCTTCCAATATTGTACATATTATGTAAATTATATATAAAATTTATTATCTGCATAGTATCAAGGAGGCAAGCACCTATTAAAAAAGCGAATAAAATACGCTCGAAACAACCAAGGCTATCGAAGAAAGTGAAATTTATCAGTAAGTAGTAAATAATATTTTCTTAATAATAAGTTTTATAAATGTATGAAGAAAAAAAAAAAAGTTAGAGACTAAATTTATTGTTACCCGTGCCAAAATACTCATCTACGATTAAAATTTCAGTAAAAATTAAGGGAATTCTTAGTTTTCTCAAAAAGCATTTAATTGCTATTCAACATTGCTTGTTCATTCTTTAAGGTAAGTCCACTTTGATATTACACGCTTTTGCCAAGGCAATTAAAATACTTACGCCTTTGAACCGAGCTGCGTTTATCACATCTACAATGTCATTATTGTAGAAGGTTTGCCTCTGCAAAGACCTTGAATTTAAGAAATATAAATAAGGTCAATGTCTAAAAATTGGGGACGGACTTTCGGGGCAACACTTTTGCTACCGCTCTTTGTATATTCATAAAAGCAATAAAACTGTTTCGGGTAATTTATAAAACATTGAGTGATCTCCCTAATGACAATTCTTCTGCAATAAAGCACAATCTCCAAATAAACCTTCGCAAGATATACTGTAGTAGATCCAGCTCGTTGCTTTGCTCACTTCAATCTAATTTTCCACACTCGTCTATAAAAAATAGTCTCGAAAATATCACACTCTAAATTTTCTTCACTATTAACACACTAACGGACGTAAACACTGTAGTGTTTGTTCTTGTTGGATTGCGATGAAAAATAACGTAAATGCTAAAGCATTGTAATTTTGAAACCAATTATCTCTCATTTCATTTTTTTGCAATCATAACATATTAATACTAATTAATTGAAAAATTGGATCCGTATTACCGTGGATTTTATGGCATTCTTTGTGTGTATAAAATTACATATTATGTATGCATTAAAGCTATCCTTACAAAATATTAGGTCATATTGAAAATTCTCCGTGAAATTTTTCCACGGAATGGTGTTGATGCCTATACATCGGACAACACTCACCTATTTGTCTCAAACGAACATGTGCCTAAAGGGCGACATTTCAACTTACATTTTTTGTGAAGATAGTTTTCTAGTTTTTTGTTCGTATAAGAAGTTATATCGATTTGAAAATGAATGAAATATCGGAAGAAAAACGCCATCTGGTGCTATTTCGATGTCAAAGCACAGGCGCGCAGGAAATGGCACTAAAGGCCCTAAACATCAACCACATGGCAGTTCGACCTAATATTTTTAATCAGAACTCGTGGTACAAGAGTGTATTAAGTTTGTACGTATCTACACACCACCCAGAAGCACTTCAGACGGATCCACCTTTTATTGCGTCGATGCGTTTGTTACACCATATGTCATTCAAAATCACTTTCTGAATCGATCTAAGCTTGTCTGCCTGTCCGTCCATCTGTCCATCCTCTATTCTAATGTCTAATCTATTGGACCCGATTTTCAGATGTCTTGATGAAGTTTGGTATACTGACGTGTTTTGCTCGAAGGACAAACTGTATTGAAAATGGCTTGGATCGAACCTCTTTTCCGATTACTTCCCGTATAACGCATTATTTTGAAAAATTTTTGTATAGATAACAGTATTAAACGAAGTGGTGTATGGTATTGAATGACGGGTCCTTGCCTCTCACTATGACGCTTTTAGTTATTTTAAAATAAATTGACTGAAAATTTTTGCCTCTCAGAGGACTTTTTGTTTGTCGTCAAAATGTTAATATATTTGAAAATAGATTTTTTGCTTTAAAATTGTTTCTTTTTTCTTACACTTAACAATAATTGGAACTATTTCCAGTTAAACCTGTAATTTTAAGTTTGCCATTGTTGCTTAGTTCTTCGAAACCTATACATTAATAAAGAGATATATAATATTAATAAATAAATATATGGAATACGCTTAAGACGTATCATCTGGGTATATAAGATAATTCGAACACTCACTTGGTTTTTTGATTACGGCATTTACATCCGCGTACTGTACACAACTACTTTTTTTTTTACAACCTTTCAAGTTTTACAAGCTTTTTTTTTAAGTGTGGAAGTTCAGTACGAAAAATATTGATTCGAAAACTATGGAATCAGAGTCATCACGGTATTCACTAGGGAGACTAAGTTCACACAGTTTGGAAGATGAAATCTCTTATCACATATTAATTATACTATTGCAACGGATCACTGGCTCCTTAAGAGATCTGCTCTTCCAATTCGCAATGGTGAACAAAATTCTGCGATTAAGTGTACACTCGTGAATTCGAAGATTTGCATTGGAAGCGTCTAATCCTAAGAAAGTCTTCAAGTTATCTACAATACATAACAATACTCTATTGAAATGACCAGGCAGATTAACCACCTAGTCCGTCTTTTCTAAAAAAATAGAGCCCGTAAGCTTATGCTACTATAATTCTAGAATTTATTTCTTTGGTCTGCACAAAATATAATAATAATAATAATAACAGTAACATAAAGTTCCATATTTTTTTTTTAAATATGACCAACCAGTCAGATGATGCCCCCATTTGGCGTAATGCGATGATTATCAGCAAGATGAGAGGAAGGAAAAAGAAATGGGGAGATAGTGGCCGCACTCTAGTGGATGCACTTACCTAATCGATAAGTGTTATGCTTTCACCAACTGTGCACTCACTATAGCTACGACCAAAGTAAACTCTACTGCATTTGAGATTTGAACACGCGAACATTGACTTGTTAATCGCGATTTTTCTCTAGTCGGCTACTCGCTCGCATAATATAAAATTTCTATATAGAACAGAACGGCAGGTGCATTAGATCTCATCAAAGTTAATAGAAATATACTGAAGGCACTTGCCTAACATATTGTTCGCCCAAACTTTTTTCTATGGAAAACTCTTATAAGCTTTAAGCGATATTTCGTTAGGCTTACTTCACAAATTTAATGCATTATGAAATTTATAATTCATTTTTGTTTTTTTGCTTGTAATTTTCCCTCCTATGCACAGCTACATTTGCGTTCGTCAAAAATTTCCACAGGGGAAAAGTGTACAAAATTTTCGTGGCGCCGTCCAGACGTTCTGGTTGTTGTATGTCTTGCCAAATATATTACAACTAAGTTTAAACCGGACTGGAGTCAACATGAATCATTCTATGAATGTATGATTATTTCGTATAGCGAGACATTGAGTTGCGAAAAACAATGAAAGTAAATCCTATGCATGTGTTAGTCTGTGTGCATAGTACGTACATCCGCATGTTTTCGGATATACACAATTATTAATACATTTCGCATTTCGTATTTCTCTTTCCTTTTTTTTATTTTCCTTACATTTATTTGCTTAACTTAATAACGATGAATACGTACGTGAGTCCTTCTGTATTAATTTGACGTGACTGCTTTTGTGTATACGACTGCCACTCAACCCCATTCCTTCCGTTTGAAAAATCATCACTTTTCCCATTTTAACCGTCGGCGGCCATTTTGTTTGTCATGTAAGCGTATCGACTTAAGTTGTTACTTCTTCTTCTTCTTCTTCTTTATAAGATAGTGTGCAAAGTATATGCTTGATTTATCTATTCATGTGTAACATCTGAAAATATTTATCAGAGATTTATTGAACTATATATGTACTCCCGATCAGGACAATATTCTAAATAGGTTTTATCCTATCCGTCTACATCTTCTTGTCTGTCCGTACGTTTGACCATGTACGAAATATTGATGTGAAAGGCGTTTAAAAGTTTTCCTAGGTCATGATCGATTTACTGAACTATTCACATAACCAACTTTAATAAAATAATTTGTTAGTCGTGTTTAAAGCGATGAGAGTATCAAAGATTCGTTCTGAGGTGCACATACCTTAATTTTTTGTAAAATTTTTTCTATGAATAGGAAACACGTAAAAGGAAAAGAAACCCGGCCAAAGAAATGAAAATGTCCCCTGCTTTTTTAATTGTAAATATTTACTCATTTACTCAGGTATTTAACAAAAGGGCACAAAGTGTTTTTATATTGGATTTTGTATTATACATGAGCAGAATTTTTAAATGTAAACAAGAAAGAACGTTATGTACACCGTAAAGCGAGAGAATATTAAATAGTCACCACCTTAGTTGCGGACGTGGCGACCTGAAGCTATCAAGATTTTATAGCTTGCCATGTAGGACCACATTTCGGATCGATATCTCTTGTGAAGTTGTTGTAAGTCGTAGGTAAGTCTTAATCGCTATTACTTTCGTTGTCTAACTATTGCTTGCAAGCATGTTTGCTTATTTCAATTTGTTGCAAACAATATTACAAAACTAGTATACAACCAAATCTGAATGGTGGATATAAGAATTAATGTCAGTTATTAACTTAATATGACATTTGAAAAAACATATATATAAAAGCAATGACGTCAGGATGTAAGTAAAAAGACAAAAGCAAGCTTGTCATTAGCAATTCACTAAGGGTTTCTTAAATAGAAGAATTATGACGGAATTGCTATAGAAAGTTGAGCGTTAAACGTAAAATTACTATCATATGTATTCGCATTTGTTCCTTTCTTTTTTTTTTTTTTTTTTGTCTTCTTTTCCATATATTAAAATAGATTTTTTATTGTTCAGTTGTCATCGTGTCCTTTACTCTATCAATTGTTCAAATTTTATTTTTTCTTAATTGAAAATGTCGGTAGTGCTCTAGAAAGCTAAAGCTATCTCTATAAGTTTCCACCTGTCTCCTCCTCGCCACCTAACCACCCTCCTTGCTTGCCTTGCCCATTTCTCGCTTTTTATTATGTACCTACGACTGTTACGTGTTCGATACCAATGGAGCACATGAAAAATCCATTAACTTACTTGCCAGGTTTGTGATGGCATAAATGAATTGTAAAACATAGCAACAGATTGAATTAAATTAAAACATTTAAATGAAATTTATTGCGGCTTTAGAGCAAGCATTCTCTCCGAGGACTAAAGACGAATAATTCAATTTTTTTTTTAAAGATTTATATAATCTTAATTAAATTTTCTCGCTTTCTCTTTCTTTATAATCTTTCGCTTTGCGCTTTGCGCTTTTCACAGTGCACTGCCGTTTACCG